TTGCTTAGATTCGCTTCCTTAGCTTCGCGCTTTCTTTGCTTCGCGTCTCTGTTGTGTGATGTCATCATATGCTATCACATTCTGTCTGCCTCCCATCCCATGTTTTCAACTTGCATGTGTGGTTTGAATGTGCAAGAATTTGTGTGTGTGTGTTCTGGAGTTTGGGAATGTGTTTTGTGTTATTTTGTTTGAGCAGGTATTTGTGATGATAGATCTTGAGAAGATCTTTCCGACGCAACAAGAATCGCTTCAATCGGAGCAAGAACGCGAAAGCTATGAAGATTCAAAGTTCATGAGCTTGCGTTACAATTGCGGCGGTTACAAAGTGAAGTTGTGGGGTGACTCTATATGGAGTTGGGACCTTTGGGGTTGGGGAAATTTGTCACCTACTGTAACAGCTGCAAATTGGTTGGGAACAACCAAGCTAGGTTGGCAAGGGTGGCCAACTTGGATGGATTGGTTGGGAAGGGACAAAGGTCAAAGTTGAGGTTCCTATAGGGAGGGAATCTTTGTGCTTATGGGGTTTCCCTTGGTTGGGGGACTCTCTTGGGACCTTCCCTCTCGTCCCTCTCTTTCATCCCAACCTTTCTCTTGCTCCTCAAATTCCTTGTGAGATTCTTGAACTTTAATTGAACCTTTGAGATTGAGTTAAGTTCTCCTCCTACAGCTTACCCCTAGTGCGTCGAAAGCCATAGCGTCGCGAATACTTTATCAATCAACATGATTCAAATTGGGAACGGTAGCTGAGATTAAGAGCTACAACATATCCAAGTTTCGCGACATTCCAACGGCTAGTTGTTTGTCGACGTCGTTTCTTGTGAAGACGACTTTTCTGTCCAGAATTTCGGATTTATATTTTGAGTAATTCTAGCTCCTAAGTTCACCTAGACTCCGTCCTTAATCCTAACAAGTGGTATCAGAGCAATATTAAGGACATTGAGAGGAGTCTACAGAAGTGTGAAGACCCTTCTAGACCCACCATGGCCTGTGGGTGTGCCTAAGTGGTGTTCTAAAGGTTGGATGTGTCTTCCGCTAAGGGGAAACTCTGCCGAAATTTCGTGGACGCCGACACTTGTGAAAATATCGAGGGAGCTGAGTGTGGACAGCAAAGGGGAGCTGAAATTCGTCATTTCTCAAGGAGAAGATGAATGAGAGAGGAGGAGATGCTAATGGAAGAGGAGCTGTAGCTGAGAAGACAAGTGAGCCGCCGCCATCAAAAGTTGAAGCTTTGGATGGCTCCAACTATGAGGAATGGAGCGGACGGATGAGGAGTGCCTTCAAACGCTACAAGCTCCTGAAGATTGCTGTTGGGGAAGAGAAGATGCCGGAAGAAGGCGAAGCACGTGAACGGTGGATTGAGAAAAGCGCGGTGCTTTTCGACCTCATTCTTCAATCGGTCAACAAGGAGATGTTCGAGCACATCAAGGATCTTGTGGAAGCGGATGATTCGGGTCCAAGGCGTGGAAACTACTACGTGATGTGGTTCAGCCCAACACTCTCCCGATGGTGATCGTGCTCGAGAAGGAACTTGCTGCCATCTCCATGCGACCAGGGGACGATGTGAAGCCGGTCCTTGACAAGATCAAGGACACCTATGCAAGGATGGCAGCAGCGGGCAGCAGTGTATCTCAGCTGCAGCAGTGCACCAAGATCATCTCGGTGTTGGACAACTCTTGGGACAACCTCATCCCCACCCTCAACTCTCAGCAAGATCAATGGACACCTGAGTGGCTAAGGCAGCAGATTCTGCAGGAGGACTTCCGCAGACGCCATGTGGGAGGCGGTGCTGCCACTAAGACTGCTGAGGGGTATGGAGCTGCAGGGCGCAGCAGAGGAAGAGGGGGTTGGAAAGGCCGAGGCCGTGGAGGAGCTTTGGCAGAGGTAGAGGCCGAGGTGACTATAATGAGGGGCATGGGAGCTCTAGTGGCAGGGGGAGTACCAGAATGGAGGGCACGTGCTGGTACTGCAAGAAGTTGGGCATCCTTGGTTCAAGTGCTTCAGCAGGCTGGAGGGATGGGCACCTCCAGGCATGAAGCCGCCCAGTGGTGAACGCGCACAAGGTGGCGCTGTGCAAGGCTCAGGTGCACAAGGTGAAGGTGCACAAGGTAATGCCTATCCTGGTTTGTTTGTATGGTTGAGGATGTGCATGGGCATGAGGGTGATGTGGGATCTGTGGAAAGGTTGTGATGCACCCTCTCACGCACTGGGTGATTGATTCGGGTTGCACCAGTCACATGACTCCACGGGCAGATTTGCTTGATGAGGTAAAACCCCCTGGGAAGATTAAGTATGTGGCAGCAGCGTCAGGTGCTTTGCTCCCCGTGATTGGTGTTGGGAATGCCAAGGTTAAGGGAGCTAATGGGAGCTTGTGGGGCTTGGGAATGTTCTGCTGGTTAAAGGCTTGTCTGCTAACCTTCTCTCTGTGCGGCGACTGCAGAAGAGTAAGGCCGAAGTGACCTTTGGACCAACCAGCTGCCGTGCTAAGCTTGGGAAGAAGGTGCTGTGGAGTCTGGAAGAGGAGACCAGCTGCATCAAGGACCTGTGGCAGCTGCCCATCATCCCATGGAATGGGAAGACTCCAACAGCAGCAACGGCAGCAGCGGCAAAGGCAACAGCAGGAGGAGATGCAACTGCACCAACTGATGGGGTCCTGGAAGCAGTCAAGAAAGTGCAGCAGCAGCAGACACATGGTGAGGTGCTTGCTGGTGTGGATGCGAGTGCGGCATGGGCTAAGGCTTCATCAAGGAGTGGAGAGGCCGATTGGGAGACATGGCATGAGAGGCTGTGTCATGTGAACTTCCCTATGCTGCAGAAGTTGGTGAAGGATGGGAGCCTGAAGGGCTTGGAGGTGAAAGGGGGAGTGAAGGAGATTGGGAGCTGCCCTACATGCTTGGAGACCAAGTTCTCCAAGTTCCCCTTCAACAGCACTACAGGACCAGCCAAGACCCCACTTGCACTTGTGCACATGGATGTGGTGGGGCCCACAAGAGCCCCTTCCCTCTCAGGCAGCCGCTATTTCTTGACAATTGTGGATGACCACACTCGGGCAGTGTGGGTTTACCCTTTGAAGAGCAAGGGGGAGGTGGCAGCGGCTGTCCTTAAGGAGTGGATGCCTAGAGCTCAGAGGGAATGCGGACACAAGGTGAAGGTGATCCGCAGTGACAATGGTGGGGAGTTCATTGGAGCTGATTTTGAGGGGGAGTTGAAGAGGAAGGGGATCCAGCATCAACTGACAGTGCCCTACAACCCGCAGCAGAATGGCGTGGCTGAGAGGTTCAACAGGACCCTGCAGGAGGGGGCACGCACTCTCCTTGGGCGTGCAGGGCTGCCTGATCCGTTTTGGGTGTCTGCACTGAGGCAGGTCGCCCTTGTGAAGAACAGGGTGCTGGCTACAGTTGGAGATAAGGAGTGGATCCCATATGTCAAGTGGTATGGGAGTGCTCCAGCTGTGAACATGCTGAGGGCATTTGGGTGCATGGTGGTGTTTCATGTGCCTAAGGAGAAAAGGGGGAAGTTGGAGGCTTCTGGAAGATGGGGTGTGCACTTGGGGATTGCAAAGGATCACAAGGGGTGGCTGCTATGGGACTTGACCACCCAGAAGTTGACAGTGTCAAGGGATGTGAAGTTTCTTGAGTCCCTGTACTACAAGGAATGGAAGCAGCAGCAACAGAAGCTTCCATCTACACCGCTCATTGTGGAGGCAGATGAGGTGCAGCAGCCTTCAAGACAGGTGGAGGTTGCAGTGTCAGAGGAGGAGATGTCTGGGGTGACTGAGGAAGGGGGAGCAGCTGAAGTAGAGCAGCAGCAGCAGCAGCAGCATGAGTCTCCATCTCGAGTTCCACACCCGCCTGAGCGACCTAGGAGGGATGTGCGCCCTCCGTGAGGCTGACCTATGGGGGAAGAGGCAAGCCAAATGTGGTGCAGGCTGGGAGTGTGGTTGAGCAGATTGAGGAAGATGAGATCGCTCACTGCTACTGGGCACCAATCCCTGAGCCCAAGACTCGAGAGGAGGCCTTGAATGGACCAAATGGGGAGAAGTGGAAGGCGAGTGAGGATGAGGAGTTCGGGTCCCTGATTGAGAACGAGACATGGGACCTGTGTGACTTGCCTCCTGGAAGAAGGCAATCACTTCCAAGATGATCTACAGGCACAAGTATGGACCTGAAGGGGAGCTGACCCGCTACAAGTCTAGGCTTGTGGCACGGGGGTTTCAGCAGACAAAAGGGAAGGACTATGATGAGGTGTTTGCTCCTGTGGGGAAAGGAACAACACTGAGGGTGCTGTTAGCGATAGCTGCACTCCTGGGATGGAAGATACGGCAGATGGACATTGTGACTGCTTTTCTGAATGGGATCATTCTGGAGGAGGTGTACATGAAGCAGCCAGAGGGGCTGGATGATGGGAGCGGCAGGGTCTGCAGGCTGAAGAAGGCCATCTATGGCCTTAAGCAGGCGCCTCGTGCATGGTATCACAAGTTGGAGGAGGCGCTGCTGGCTGGGGGTTTCAAGAAGAGTGAGTGTGACCCCAGCCTGTTCCTGCTGCAGGAGAAGGACGAAATCCTCATGCTCTTGGTGTATGTGGATGATATCCTTCTCTTTTCTGCATCAACTGCTTTGCTGGACAGCGCAGAGCAGATGCTGGAGATGCAGTTCAAGTGCTCCAAGATGGGTGAGGTGAAGTACTACTTGGGGATGCATGTGGAGAGAGATGTGGAAAAGGGTGTGCTGAGGTTGCACCAGAGGAAGTACTGTGAGGGGCTGGCTGAGAAGTATGGGCTGCAAGATGGGGGAAAGCCAGCAACACCACTACCTTCAGGGTTTACTGTGGAGCCATGTGCTGATGAGGAGGTAGTGGGTGATAGTGACAGGAAGCTGTTTCATTCGATGGTTGGGTCGCTGAATTATGCTGCAAATCATACACGGCCTGACATTGCATTTGCTACATCACGATTGGCTAGTGTGGTCTCACGCCTAGTCATGAGCAGCTGGAAGCGGCCAAGAGGTTGGTCCGCTATGTGAGTGCTACGGCATCAGTGGGATTGGAGTACAGTGGAGTGAGGCAGCGGTTGCAGAGAGGTGCTGCAGATGTGAAGAGTGGTGAGATGCTCTTGAGTTGCTATACTGACGCTAGCTTCAACTCAGTGAAAGCGGATGGCACCAGCATTGGGGGTTATGTGTGCTTGCTAGGAGGTGGTGCTGTGAGCTGGCGCAGCAAGAAGCAGAATGAGGTGGGATTGTCTCATGTGAGACTGAGTACATGGCCTTACACCATGGGGCCAAGGAAGTAGTGTGGCTAAGGCGTTTGTTGGAGGAGTTGGGAGTTGGTCAGGAGAAGCCGACAGTTGTGTTTTGTGACAATGAGTCCGCTGTGAAGCTCGCCAAGAATGCTTGTCTGCATGGGCTGACAAAACACATAAGGCCTAAGTGGCATTGGGTGAGGAGACTCCTTGATAAGGAGGTGCGGCTGGAGATAGTGAAGACCCATCAGCAGGCAGCAGATATTTTCACTAAGCGTCTGGCGGAGGCGGATCATTGGAAGGGCATGAAGCTTGCTGGGATGAGTGTGCATTGAGTATGCATGCTTGAGATGTGGTATGGTCGATGATGGTTGGCAGCCAGAGGGGGAGATTGTTGTGTGATGTCATCATATGCTATCACATTCTGTCTGCCTCCCATCCCATGTTTTCAACTTGCATGTGTGGTTTGAATGTGAAAGAATTTGTGTGTGGTGTGTTCTGGAGTTTGGGAATGTGTTCTGTGTTATTTTGTTTGAGCAGGTATTTGTGATGATAGATCTTGAGAAGATCTTTCCGACGCAACAAGAATCGCTTCAATCGGAGCAAGAACGCGAAAGCTATGAAGATTCAAAGTTCATGAGCTTGCGTTACAATTGCGGCGGTTACAAAGTGAAGTTGTGGGGTGACTCTATATGGAGTTGGGACCTTTGGGGTTGGGGAAATTTGTCACTCTACTGTAACAGCTGCAAATTGGTTGGGAACAACCAAGCTAGGTTGGCAAGGGTGGCCAACTTGGATGGATTGGTTGGGAAGGGACAAAGGTCAAAGTTGAGGTTCCTATAGGGAGGGAATCTTTGTGCTTATGGGGTTTCCTTGGTTGGGGACTCTCTTGGGACCTTCCCTCTCGTCCCTCTCTTCTATCCCAACCTTTCTCTTGCTCCTCAAATTCCTTGTGAGATTCTTGAACTTTAATTGAACCTTTGAGATTGAGTTAAGTTCTCCTCCTACAGCTTACCCCCTAGTGCGTCGAAAGCCATAGCGTCGCGAATACTTTATCAATCAACATGATTCAAATTGGGAACGGTAGCTGAGATTAAGAGCTACAACATATCCAAGTTTCGCGACATTCCAACGGCTAGTTGTTTGTCGACGTCGTTTCTTGTGAAGACGACTTTTCTGTCCAGAATTTCGGATTTATATTTTGAGTAATTCTAGCTCCTAAGTTCACCTAGACTCCGTCCTTAATCCTAACAGCTTCGCTTCGCTTCGCATATCTTCGCTTTGCTTCTCTTAGCTTCGCTTCGCTTCATTTTGCTTCTCTTCGCTTTGCTTCGCTTAGCTTCGCTTAGCCTCGCTTTGCTTCACTTAGCTTTGCTTCGCTTCGCTTAGCTTTGCTTCGCTTCGCTTCTCTTCCCTTCTCTTCGATTCTCTTCACTTCTCTTCCCTTAGCTTCGCTTAGCTTCGCTTCGCTTCGCTTCCCTTAGCTTCGCTTCGCTTAGCTTCGCTTCGTTTCGCTTCCCTTAGCCTCCCTTAGCTTCGCTTCACTTCGCATCACTTCGCTTCGATTAGCTTTGCTTAGCTTCTCTTAGCTTCGCTTTGCTTCTCTTAGCTTCGCTTAGCTTCGCTTCGCTTTGCTTCACTTTGCTTTGCTTTGCTTTGCTTCGCTTTGCTTAGCTTTGCTTCGTTTCACTTTGATTTGCTTAGCTTCACTTAGCTTCGCTTCGCTTCCCTTAGCTTCGGTTCGCTTCCCTTAGCTGCGCTTAGCTTCGCTTCGCCTCGCATACCTGCGCTTAGCTTCGCTTTGCTTCTCTTAGCTTCGCTTTGCTTCGCCTAGCTTCGCTTAGCTTCTCTTAGCTTCGCTTCGCTTTGCTTAGCTTCGCCTAGCTTCACTTAGCTTTGCTTCGCTTTGCTTTGCTAAGCATTGCTTCGTTTCACTTTGCTTCGCTTCGCTTAGCTTCGCTTAGATTCGCTTCGCTTAGCTTCGCTTAGCTTCGCTTAGCTTTGCTTAGCTTCTCTTAGCTTCGCTTAGCTTCTCTTTGCTTCGCCTAGCTTCACTTAGCTTTGCTTCGCTTCGCTTTGCTAAGCATTGCTTCGTTTCACTTTGCTTCGCTTCGCTTCGCTTAGCTTTGCTTCGCTTCGCTTAGCTTCGCTTCGCTTAGCTTCGATTCGCTTAGCTTCGCTTCGCTTCGCTTAGCTTCGCTTCGCTTAGCTTCGCTTCGCTTCGCTTCGCTTCGCTTCGCTTCGCTTCGCTTCGCTTAGCTTCGCTTAGCTTCCCTTAGCTTCTCTTAGCTTCGCTTAGCTTCTCTTAGCTTCACTTAGCTTTGCTTCGCTTCGCTTTGCTAAGCATTGCTTCGTTTCACTTTGCTTCGCTTAGCTTTGCTTTGCTTCGCTTAGCTTCGCTTCGCTTAGATTCGCTTAGCTTCGCTTCGCTTCTCTTCGCTTAGCTTCGCTTCGCTTCTCTTCGCTTAGCTTCGCTTCCCTTCGCTTAGCTTCGCTTTGCTTTGCTTAGCTTCGCCGAGCTTCACTTCCCTTCGCTTTGCTTCTCTTTGCTTCTCTTCGCTTCGCTTCGCATAGCTTCGCTTAGCTTCACTTAGATTCGCTTAGCTTCGCTTAGCTTCGCTTCGCTTTGCTTAGCTTCGCTTAGCTTAGCTTCGCTTAGCTTCGCTTCGCTTAGCTTCGCTTCGCTTCGCTTAGCTTCGCTTAGCTTCGCTAAGATTCGCTAAGCTTCGCTTCGCTTCGCTTCGCTTAGCTTCGCTTAGCTTCGCTTCGCTTAGCTTCGCTTAGATTCGCTAAGCTTCGCTTCGCTTCGCTTCGCTTAGCTTTGCTTCGCTTCGCTTTGCTTCCCTTAGATTCGCTTAGCTTCGCTTCGCTTCTCTTCGCTTAGCTTCGCTTCGCTTCTCTTCGCTTAGCTTCGCTTCACTTCGCTTAGCTTCGCTTAGCTTCGCCGAGCTTCACTTCGCTTCGCTTAGGTTCGCTTAGCTTCGCTTCGCTTTGCTTCGCTTCCCTTAGCTTCGGTTCGCTTCCCTTAGCTTCGCTTAGCTTCGCTTCGCTTCGCATACCCGCGCTTAGCTTTGCTTTGCTTCTCTTAGCTTCGCTTCTTTTTGCTTCGCTTCTCTATGCTTCTCTTCGCTTCGCTTAGCTTCGCTTAGCTTCGCTTCACTTTGCTTAGCTTCGCTAAGCTTCTCTTAGCTTCGCTTAGCTTTGCTTTGCTTCGCTTAGCTTCGCTTCGCTTCACATAGCTTCGCTTTGCTTCGCTTCGCTTCTCTTCGCTTCCCTTCTTATAGCTTCGCTTAGCTTCACTTAGATTTGTTTCGCTTTGCTTAGCTTCGCTTCGCTTCGCTTAGCTTCGCTTCGCTTCGCATAGCTTCGCTTACTAGACGAATTGCTATAGACAAAGTGCTCCAGTAGAAGTGCTCCAGACGAAGTGCTCCAAGCGAAAGTGCACAAGACTAAGTGCTCCTGACGAAGTGCTCTAGACCAAGTGCTCCAGACAAAGTGCTCAAGATTATGTGCTCTAGACCAACTGCTCCAGATGAAGTGCTCTTGATGAATGTGCTCTGGACAAAAGTGCTCCAGACAAAAGTGCACCAGACAAAGTGCTCCAAACGAATTGCTCCACTCAAAGTGCTCCCCGATGAAGTGCTCCAAACGAAAGTGCTCCAGACAAAAGTGCTCCAGACAAAAGTGCTCCAGACGAAAGTGCTCCAGACGAAAGTGCTCCAGTCGAAACTGCACCAGACGAGGTGCTCCAAACGAAGTGCTCTAGACAAAGTGCTCCATACCAAGTGCTCCAAACGAACGTGCTCCACACCAAAAAGCACTAGACGAAGTGCTCCAGACAATGTGCTCCAGACGAAAGTTCTCCAGACCAAAGTGCTCGAGACGAACGCACTAGATGAAGTGCTCCAGACAAACTGCTCAAGACAAAGTGCTCCAGACGAAAGTGCACCAGACTAAGTGCTCCAGACAAAGTGCTCAAGACCAAGTGCCCCAGTCCAAGTGCTCCAGACCAAGTGCTCCGGACAAAAATGCTTCAGATGAAACTGCTTTCGACAAAAGTGCACCAGACAAAGTGCTCCAGACGAAGTGATCCAGACAAAAGTTCTCCAACAAAGTGCTCCAAACGAACGTGTTCCAGACCAAAAAGCACCGGACAAAGTGCTCCAGACAACGTACTCAAGACGAAGTGCTCCAGACGAAGTGCGCCAGACGAAGTGTACAGACAAAGTGCTCCAGGCGAAAGTGCACAAGACTAAGTGCTCCTGACAAAGTGCTCTAGACCAAGTGCTCCAGAGAAAGTGCTCCAGACCATGTGCTCTAGACCAACTGCTCCAGAGGAAGTGCTCCAGATGAATGTGATCCGGACAAAAGTGCTTCTGACAAAATTGCACCAGACAAAGTGCTCTAGACGAATTGCTCCAGTCGAAGTGCTCCCGACGAAGTGCTCCAGACGAATGTGCTCCAGACAAAAGTGCTCCAGACAAAAGTGCTCCAGACGAAAGAGCTCCCGACGAAAGTGCTCCAGTCGAAAGTGCACCAGACGAAAGTGCACCAGACGAAGTGCTCAAGAAGAAGTGCTTCAGACGAAGTGCTCCACACGAAGTGCTCCAAACGAATGTGCTTCAGACCAAAAAGCACTAGATGAAGTGCTCCAGACAAAATGCTCCAGACGAAAGTTCTCCAAACCAAAGTGCTCAAGACGAACGTGCACTAGATGAAGTGCTCCAGACGAAAGTGCACCAGACTAAGTGCTCCAGACGAAGTGCTCGAGACCAAGTGCCCCAGACCAAGTGCTCTAGACGAAATGCTCCAAACCAAGTGCTCCAGACAAAAATGCTCCAGATGAAAGTGCTCTCGACGAAAGTGCACCAGACGAAGTGCTACAGACGAAGTGCTCCAAACGAACGTGCTCCACACCAAAAAGCACTGGACGAAATTTTCCAGACAACATACTCTAGACGAAGTGCTCCAGACGAACTGCTCCAGACGAAGTGCTCCAGACGAAAGTGCTCTGAGCGAAAATTCTCCGGATGAAAGTGCTCCAAACGAACATGCACTAGATGAAGTGCTCCAGACAAAGTGCTCAAGACGAAGTGCTCCTGACCAAGTGCTCCAAACAAAGTGCTCCAGAAGAAAGTGTTCCAGACGAAAGTGCTCTAGACAAAAGTGCACCAGACGAAGCGCTCCAGACAAAGTGCTTCAGACGAAGTGCACAAGACGAAGTGCACCAGACGAAAGTGTACCAGACGAAGTTCACCAGACGAAGTGCTCCAGACAAACGTGCTCCAGACGAAATAGCACCTGACAAAGTGCTCCAGTCGAAAGTGCTCCAGACGAAGTGCTCCAAACGAACGCGCTCCAGACGAAAAGGCACCAGACGAAGTGCTCCAGATGAAGTGCTCTAAACGAAGTGCTCTAGGCGAAGTGCTCCAGGCAAAGTGCTCCAGACGAAGTGCTCCAGATGAAAGTGCTTTAGACGAAGTGCTCCAGATGAAGTGCTCAAGACGAGCGTGCTCTAGATGGAAATGCCCCAGACAAAGCGCTCCAGACAAAGTGCTCTAAACAAACGTGCTCTAGACCGAAAAGCACCAGACGAAGTGCTCCAAACGAAGGGCTCTAGACGAAGTGCTCGAGACGAAATGCTCCAGATGAAAGTGCTTTAGATGAAGTGCTCCAGACGAAAAAACTCGAGACAAAAGTGCTCCAGACGAACGTGCACTACACGGGGTGCTCTAGACAAAGTGCTTCAGATGAAGTGCTCCAGACGAAGTGCTCCAGGCGAAAGTGCAACAGACTAAGTGCTCCTAACGAAGTGCTCTAGACCAAGTGCTCCAGACCATGTGCTCTTGACTAGGTGCTCCAGATAAAGTTCTCCAGACGAAAGTGCTCCAGAAAGTGCTCCAGACAAAAGTGCTCCAGACGAAAGTGCACAGGACGAAGTGCTCCAGACGAAGTGCTCCAGATGAAGTGCTCCGAAAGTGCTCTAGACGAAAGTGCACCAGACGAAAGTTCTCGAGACGAAAGTGCACCAGATGAATGTGCACCAGATGAAGTGCTTCGGACGAAGTGCTCCAGATGAAGTGCTCCAGACGAAGTGCAGCAGA